AGGAAAATTAAATGCTTATTCATAAGTGAAAGAAACCAATGTAAAATGGCTACACACTCTATGATTCCGACTGCATGAGATTTTCGCAAAGGCAAAACTACGTAAACTGTAAAAAGATCGGTGGTTGCCAGGGAATGGAAGAAAGGGAAGGAAGAATAGGTAGAGCATGGAGGATAAGCTTAGTGCAGTGATACTATTCTGTATGATACTATAATGCTGGATACATGTCATTATACATTTGTACAAACCCACAGAATGCACAACACCAAGAGTGAACCCTAAACTATGGGCTCTGGATGATGATGATGATGATGTGTCAATATAGGTTCATCAACTGTAACAAATGTACTCTTGCAAGGGGTGTTGATGATGCATATGTACATATGTGAGGAGGTGGGTATTCAAGAAATATCTACACCTTCCTCTCAAGTTTGCTGTGGATCTAAAACTGCTTTTAAAAATGAAGTCTATTAAAAAAAAACCTCCAGATAAATTGACATATATCTAAAAAATAAAACTGCAAAATTCTTAGAAGCAAACTTAGACAACTATCTTTTAAACCCAGGAAATGGAATAATTTATTTAAAAGGGCATTAAAAGCAATTACAGTAAGTCTTCACTTAACACTGTTGATGGGTTCTTAGAAACTGACTTTAAAAGAAACAATGTGCTGCAGGTCCTTTAATAATGCTGTTTTGCTCAGTATCTTTTTTTTTTTTTGAGACACAGCCTCACTATGTTTCCCAGGTTAGAGTGCAAAGCCATGATTCCAGCTCACTGCAGCCTTAACTCTTGAGCTCAGGTGATCCTCCCACCTCTGCCTCCCAAGTAGCTGGGTCTATAGGTGTGCATCACCACTTGTGGCTTATGTTTTATTATTTATAATATAATTTCCTTATAACATTGATGAGAAAAATAAATTGCTTTCTTTATACGTTGTTTTGCTTAAAGTCAGTTTCCAAGAGCCCATCAATGACATTAAATGAGGACTTACTGTATGATAAAAAAAAAAAGGGACAAATTTGACTTCATTAAGAATTTTTTTTATCAAAAGATCCACAGCAATGATAAAAACTGTATTTAGGATTCCAAGTTTGCAAGTACTAGTAAACTGTGCAACAGAAGATTAATATTTTGCTTTATATCCAATATTAAATCTGATCAACTCCAGCATTTTAATGGCAAGCTGTGAAAATACCTAAATAACTGATTCACATAATCTTAGGGAATACACTGCTCTTTAAACAAAAGAATAAAATATTATTAATGACTAATAAGTAGTTTGCAACAAAGAGATATGGAACTGGAAAATGAGCAATTGATGAACTATCTGTATAATTTTTGCTATTTCTCTGCTTCTGAATTTACAGTACTTGTTAACTAAATCAACCTAGCAATTGAGTGCCTAGTATGTGTGAAGCAATACAATATTTTACACAACTTCCTATGGTTATTCATTTGGATAGTTTACAAATCCCCAGGCCATAAACTATTAATATAACTTTACCCTTTCTATACCAAATGTACAATAGATATTAAATCCAAACCTGTTGATAATAATGTAAATTACTTTAAATATTTGCCAAAAAAGGTAAAAGCATTTAAAACTGTTCCTCCCACACAACCCCTGTAAAAGAAAGTGAAAAAGTTAGGAACTGAAAGAAGACATTCACAATGTACACAGAGGATTAACATAAACAATATAAAGAACTCTTGTAAACCAGTAAGAAAAACAAAAATAGGCAAGAGACATAACTAGGAATTTCACTGAAAAAGAAACATAAAAGGCTGGCAAACAAAAAAAGAAATGTTCTACATCAGTGATAACCAGGAAAATGTACATAAAGACCACAATAAGACAACATTTTACATCCTTTTGATTTGTAAAATTTATACTAAGTGTTGGAGAGGATGGATAACCAAAGGATCTTTTATGTCGTATATTGCTAATATGAATGTAAATTGGTACAATCATATTGAAAGTTCTGTTATCATCTCTGAAGTTGAACATTCACCTACCCTATGAAGCAACAATGCTATCTCTAGGTATATAATAGGAGCTGTGGCACATACACAGTAGCAAACATGCACAGACTGTCCATAGGATCTTCGCTTATAATTACAAACATAACAAAACAAAAAAACAGAAAATAACTGCCCAATAAAGGAGAGTAGATAAATATCCAAATATCCACCAAAGGAGAGTTAATGAATATTTTACTTAATGAAATATTATACAGCAATTTAAATGAATGACTAGCAACATGCAAAAATGTGGATAAATCTTACTTATAACAGGTGAAAAATCAAGTTCAAAAGATTACATTCACCACAATTCTATGCAAACAACTAAAATAGAAGATGTTTAGATTTATATGTCCAACTAAACTATACACAGCAATCTCCTTTTATAAGGTGGTCCAAGAGACCCCCCCAGTAAATGCCTAAAACCATGAATAGTACTTAACTCTATATATACTTTTCCTGTAACACACATACATATTGCTAAAGTTTAATCTGTAGGTTACGTACAGTAAGCGATTAACAATAAAATAGAACAATTATAACAATGTACTATAATTACAGTTGTGTGATCTCTCTCTCAAAATATCTTATATTACTATACTTGTAAATATCTTATAGTACTATACTGTACTCACCTATTTTTGGACCACAGCTGACCACGGGTAACTGAAACCGTGGATAAGGAGGGACTACTGAATGAGGAAGAGAATGAACACAGGACTCAAAAATGATAACCTAAGATGACAAGAAGGTGGAAATATAGAAGAACACTATAGGTAGGTTAAAATTCCTAGCTTGTTTTGAGAGAAGGTGAGTGGTGGTCCATGATTACTTATCAAAATGATACAGGGGGGGATGATTAATCCAATGCAGTGTGCCTGATGTTTAATAAATTTTTTGAAAAATCCAAAAGTTGCATAAAATTTGTTCAACAAAAATTTTGAAACAGGAGAACACCTCCTTAGAGAATTTCTAAGGTGACAACTACAGGGAAGGGAAAACAATACGACTAATGTGTAAAATATATGAAACACAGGCCAAGCACAGTGGCTCAAACCTGTAATCCCAGCACTTTGAGAGGCCAAGGCGGACAGATGGCCTGAGTCCAGCAGTTCGAAACCTGCCTGGGCAACGTGGCAAAGCCCCGTCTCTCCAAAAAAAATACAAAAATCAGCCATGTGTGGTGGCTCACACATGTGGTCCCAGCTACTCGGGAGGCTGAGGTGGGAGAATCACTTGAGCCCAGGAGGCAGAGGTTGCAGTGAGCCAAGATTATGCCACTGCACTTCAAGCTGGGTGACAAAGTGAGATCCTGTCTCAAAAATAAAAATACACAAACACTCAGCACATGCACCGTGTGGCAAGTACGTCTTCTATAGTCAAAAATAAGTTCCAAATTTCATTGTAACTAAATTCCATTAAATTAAAGTACTTATGAGCCAGGGTAGTAAAGAAAACTTTCACCAATCTGATAAGTCACTGTCAAATTTCTAAAAGAGATAAATCCTAATGATATTATATAATTCTTATATATCTACTCATCTTTATGAGGCACTTCAACACTACCTTCAAATCCAAGGTGTACACTGTCATCAAGTACACTGTCCCATGCTTTCCTGATCGTCATTTTTTACACACAATATTTATGCATATGTTACACAAATTTCATTTTTGTGATTGAAAAAAAACCAAATATGATAATAGAGCTAGTTTCAAAGATTTCATCAGATAAAATTAAGAGAAGTTGGACATGCATCAAGATAAAGCTTCTCTATTTGTTTCATTAAGGAATTACTTTTTCATTAGTCTATTTTCCCACTCTAAATTTTAAATCATTTTAAAGCTTTTAACTAGTTTTCAACTTTGCTGTCAAGTTTGAACTCTGCTGTATATCAAAAGTTAATCAATTAAATGTCATATAATCTAAAATTGGTTTTTTAAATAATATAGACATTTGACAATTATCAGCGCAGTATATTTTATGAGGAAATAATGTAGAATTAACTGTTTTATTCAAATCCCATTTATAGTATGGAAGTAACATTATTTTAAGTGGTCTTTATAAACTACCACTCTATTTGTTTAAAAGTATACATACTTCTGATGAATGGCATAGAAATTTACCCTTGCCAAATTTGAAAAGCAGAAATAAGAGCCCCCAAGGAATCAGATGCTAAGCGCTGGGATAAAGAGATGACATCTAGAAGGCACCCCTACCTCTCCCTATTTCTTTCTTTTTATTTTTTTTAAATTTTGAAACTTGGAAGCACTGTGGTTTGTATACCTCTCCCTATTTCAATACAATGAGACTGGACCTAATCTCTATTACACTAATGAAAGATGACAGAAAAATCATATTAAGAGTCATCATTTAGTAACATTAGTTTTAACACAAAGACTTTTATCTTGATAGTCAAGAAATATTTGGAAAGTTATTTAGTATATTTAACTCAGCAAAGTATGCACTGCAAATGACAAACATTGCAGTAGTCTTACTGAGCAGCAATAATCAAATCTCAACTGAAAAAACACACAGTGCTGATATACTGTTCAAAGAAATTGTTGCTGTATTTCATTACTGTCTATTACTGAATCTGTACCACTGCACTTTTCTTTGAGACAGGGTCTTGCTCCGTCACCAAGGCTGGAGTGCAGCAGTGTGATCTCGGCTAACTGCAACCTCCACCTCCCAAGTTCAAGTGATTCTTGTGCGTCAGGCTCCAAAATAGCTGGGATTATAGGCGCACATCACCACACCTGGCTAACTTTTGTACTTTTAGTAGAGATGAGGTTTCACCATGTTGGCCAGGCTGGTCTCGACCTCCTGACCTCAGGTGATCTGCCTGTCTCAGCCTCCTAAAGTGCAGGGATTACAGGCATGGCACCCAGCCTGCACTTTTCTTCCTAATAAAGCAATGACTCAAAATTGAAATATTTTGACATTAAAA